CTCGCCACTGCGTGGCTCCCCCTGTGCCTGGGGCCCTCCTTCCAGGAGCCTAGGAGGCAGGGAGCGAGCCGACCAGAAGACCGGCTCTCCCCGCCCATGGCTCCCTGTGCACCAGAGGTCTATCATGAAATTTGAACCATATTTATAAAGAATATCATGAGTCCTGATTTTTACTATCAGCTTCTATGAGAAGAAATCCATAAGATATAATGGAGTGGCACAGGCCTGTAATCTCAGCTACTCAGGAGGCTAAGGTGGAGGATTGCTTGTGGCCAGGATAACAACCCTAGTCAAACCCAGTCTGAGCCGGTTGTGGTGGCGCCCACCTGTAATCCCAGCACTTAGGAGGCTGAGGCAGGCGGATCATTGCAAGTTCGAGACCAGCCTGGGCTACAAAGTGAGCTCAAGGCCAGCCTAAACTACACAGTGAGACCCTGTCTTAAAAAAAGAAAAAAAAAAATCCCAGTCTGAATTGGGCCTTGTTAAATTCATTAATACATCCTCACAGAAGAGCACCTATATGAAAAAGTTAATTTTAGGTTTACAAGATTGCATTCTTTGTAAAGCTACTAGTTTAAACCTAATTAAAACCTGCACACTCACTTTAATTAGGATAGGACCGAAACATCTTTATTTATGAAATACAATTGACAAATGACAGTTGCTTACATGTATAGTGTGGGACTTTGTTTTTTTGCGACAAGGTCTTGTTATATAGCCCAGGATGGCCTCCAACCCAGGGGATCCTCCTGCCTCAGCCTCCCTAGTGCTGGGATTACAGGCATGTGCACCAGTACACCAAGTAGTATGTGACTTTTGACATAGATATTGTGAAATAATTATCAAAGTACAGCTAATTAGCATATTTACTACATGACTTAGTTGTCTTTGTATGTGTGTGTGGTAAGAATAAAGATCTACTCTTAGCAATTTTCAAGTATCCATATTTATTATTTTATATTTCACTTCTCACATTTACTCATTCCACAGATGGCACCAGTAGAAATAAATAGTAGTGGTAGTAGTGGATTCAGGATAGCTTTTGGAAATAATACTGAAGGAATTTTCTGATGGATGGAAGGAGGGAGGTAAGAAAAAAGTATTACCATTTCCATTTTAAGGATGCCAAAAGTGACACTTGGTAACATGCTCACTCTCACACTTTAGCAGAGTTGGGTTCTTATGGACATCAGACTTCAGGAGAATTTTTTTTTGGGGGGGTACTGGAAATTGAACATACAGCCTTTGCATTGAGCTACTTCCCAGCCCTTTCTTTAATTTCTATTTTGAGACTAACATATGACTAAGTCACCATATTGTTCTTCTATACTGGACATTCTAGGAGCAGTGAGGTTGGCCAGGTAAAGTCTCTTTCACATCAGAAAATCTACCGTCTAAGGTTGGATAGAGTACCTTCCTCCAGCACACCCCCAGTAGAGAACCACTTATTGACTGCTTATAGCTTATATCCAAGTGAGTTTCCAAAAATAATAATAAAAAATTAAGTTAAATTCACAGCCAATGATTAAGATTATTTTTTGAAGTTTCTTAAACTCCATTCTATGCTTACCTGAATTCTGATGGTTTCAGCACTGTAAATAAGCACTTGGTAATTTACTCAGCAGAAGTTATTAGTATTGAGTAGGGGTGGGGTGCATACCTGTAATCCCAGGACTTGGGTAGCAGAGGCAGGAGGATCACCCCAAGTTTGGGGTTAGCCTAGGCTACCTAGTGAGTTCAAGTCCAGCCTGAAATACTTAGTGAGACCCTGTCTCAAAAAACCAAAATAAAGAAAAAAGTTAGTAGTACCAAACACATATTGGGAATTGTGCTACGCAAAGGACACTTTGTTGAGGTCCTTTTTTGCTGTCTGAGTCTGTAGGAAGTATAAAATGACTTAGCACATATAAGATTCAATTGTTAAATTTAAGGGTGCCCTCTCCTTTGTGCGTGTCTACTGCCTTCCCGGAGCATGTATTTTGGTTTGGGATGTTGCTTAGAACTGTTGATAGAGAAAGACATATGAAATGCAGGTGCTAAAATCTTGTGTAGGGGCTGGGGATTTAGCTCAGC